AATAAGGCCGTGTGTAAAAGGTGGCCTGAGTATGGTTACTGTGCTGCATCTGGAACTGGTACATCTTTCCTGACCAAAAAAAAAAAAAAAAAAAAGTAAAATTCTGCAGCTTTTTAACTTTGTATTTTGTTACCATGTAGGAGGAAAGCAAGTTTGGTTTGCAATAAATTGTCATTTTATGATAATGCAAGGCAAGAAAGCTCAGTGTAAGTACTTGGGTTATCCCACTTATATTAGATCTAGCCAGCTGCATGGCTTAGGGGAACAATATTGGATTAAATTCAGGGACTACTGAAGTCAGTGGACATCTACTGTCTTCAGCAGAGCCTGGGTGGAGGTCAGTTTTTCAGTTAAAAAAAATAATTAAAAAATCAGATATAATTTAGGCAAGAGAGAATTAAATATTTGCACCACAGACAGATGTCACATTTTTATTTATTTTTGTCTACCATATTTAAATGTGTCATTTTTGCTTTGAACCACATGTGAAGATCTCCTATCTTGAAACCTAAATACATTTTAAAAACCCAAATCTATCTCCAGCCCAGTTCAACTAAAGTGAATTGGGGGAACTGGGTGGGGGTGTAGAAACAGGCCATTTTAAAGGTATCACACTACATTGATTTAATTATTATTATCCTTGAACATTTTAAACAGGTAACAGTGGCTTATAGAAAAGAAAATCTTTGATGCACATATAATCATATGAAAAAGTAAATAACTAGGCTTAAGTGATCTATTCTAATGCACAAAGCATAAACTGCTTTATCCAGGTTAATTTTCCTCTCATGTACTGTGTGCTGTCAGATAAAACTTTACAGGCATTCAGACTCCCCTAGATCCTGGTTATTGCAAGTAAAGAAAGTTTGGTCCTTAAATAAGTTATATTTTCAGGTTAGCAACCACTCTGTTTTCCTTTCCCTCTTCTCATAAATCAATTATTGAGGTCTATTTAATTAAGAACAGATAAGAAACATTTTCATTGTTGTTTTTTACATTTCCTTTGTGCTGAAGTGCTACGGAGTTAAAACAGCAAGCACAAAAGTGCACAGCCAACCATGACTAACTGCATAAAGCAAATAACAAGCTGTATGATCAAAAACGAAAGCCAGTGCCGTTCATGTGGAATAATAGAAATCATACCACCACAACACTTCATACACGTCTCATCTACCGACGTGCTCAGCTCAGCTCATGTCATGCCTCAGGAATGCAGATACAAACAGAGAGGGACCAGCACCAGAGGTAAACACCCAGAAGGGAAGCCACATTTCCCCATGCCTCATCCATTACCCCTTCAGCTCGAGGTTCATCAGCTGTGGAGAGGGAAAGGCAGAGGTAGTTGTTACTCAGGATGTGCTTCTCTCCTTCCATCTCTTCTGGAGATGTCCCTGGGGAGATAAGCCATATATATGCACCAAACACTCTTGCTTGGAGCAGCTAACTTGCCATGTCTGAGCTGGAGGGCTGCTGAAGGACAGTTGCTGTCAGTTCCCACCAGTCACAGAACCGTGTCCCCCCAACCACACAGTATCATCATGCAACGTTCTTTTCAGGGCTCGGACATAGTTCCTGTCTTCACCATCATTAAAAATCACCTTCCACCCTCTACTGATTTTTCTCAGGGGCTGCAAAAGCCATTCTTATCTAAGCAAAGAAAATCCTGCTTACCTATGGGGTGCAACTCAGAGTGGGGAAGTGCTGGATGCTTCTGGGAGAGGATGAAGGGATTTTGCCAAGTGTAATTTTTTTACATAGTGTTTTAAAACAACCAAACACAAACCCAGCAATCTGCCTACGAACTGGAAAACAAATGCAGCTTAAAATTTTTGCTCAATTCTCGCTGCAGGAAATGGGAAACTTTCTGCTGTTTCATGGGGAATTGGAGCAGACCAGAGAGAGGAGAACAACAACAAGCAGACACTCGCCAATGAAATGCCTGTAGTAAAGTACTGACAGAGAGATCAAGGGCTTTGCATACGCTTTAGGAAGGATTCCATTTCATTGTCATTTCAGGCCAAGGAGGAGGAGAGTCCATGTTCCTGCAGTCATTCAACCCAACTACTTCCCTACTGATTTTTAAAATCACTTGTGGCTCAGCCTATTCCTCATGCTTCAGGGGGGGGAGAGATGGCAGAGGGAACAAGAACTTTTGAGGTTCCTCTTTACTTATTATCCAAAGACTTTAAAAATTACGTTGATGAGTCCTAAATCTTGTAAGTCCTAGCACTTTGATGAGGGGGAATTACATGCCTGCTGTCAGGTAAGCAAACTCAGTCCTTTTAAAACTTACATTAACATTCAAAATATCTTGATACTCTTCCAGCATCTATATTAGCTAACTATTAAACAAAACTAAACATAAAGTTTGTTCTGTTCCCTGTGCCCCTATTTACCAACTCTTATCTAATTTTAGAAAGCAAAAGCCAGAAAAAAGGTTACTGAAGGAAAATAAAGTGGGGTTTAGATCATTGGATTTAAGCCCTCCCCAGCAGCTTTCAGATACTGCCAGCTCAGGAGCTAAGAGGAAGAGCTATGAACCAACAGACTTAAGGATTGGAGACAAGTCCTCTGGCTGCTGCAACATCTCTGGTGCAAGACTTTTCCTTGGGATCTCGGGAGGCTGCTAGTGTTAATGCCAATGTTACTTTTGTCATTCATTTCTGTATATGCTTGTGTGAATACTGCAGGATTTTTCTGAGAAACTTCCCATGTGTGATATGCAGATGGACAGACTGAAACCTTTGCATTGAGACAGCCTGCCCTGGAGCACTGTAGTAACACTAAAGTTGTTGGGGCAGGGTATCTTGATGAGCTCCATATAGAGGTCTCTGCACTTCTGTCCATACCTGTAGGGAGCAGGAACTCTTTCTTCAGACTTATGCCAGAAAAAGCTCTGTTTTAGCCTTCATTGGAGCCTCTTTGGTGAGGCTTTTAACCTGTGGCTTTGGAGGTGCTGCACAGAAATTTCTGGCTTGTGATTCCAACAATCATTAGTCAACCTTGCCCATGGAAAGTAGTTAGAAATCCTGCTACTTAATGACTCCCAGCCCAAATCTGCCCAATGTTTCTACAGTTTTGAGAAAATAAAAAAATCTTCTTTGCTCAATTACTTGCCTTTGTTATGAGTGAGAAGCTAGCATGTCTCTCTGACCAACAAGAGGACTTGAGATGATGATAATTTCAGAGAGATTATTATTTTACTGTTGTTTGATTGGAAGGCCTGGAAGAGCCACCCTGGGCCTAGACAGCTGGTTGCACACATATGGTTGCAACTTGCTCACTTAGAGCGAGACGAGCATCACTTTGTTGTACTATACGTGCACTGGAGCAAGCCTGGTGCTCAATGCAGAGGTCATCTTTTACAGAGCAACTAATCTTAAGTTTACTGGGCATGTTTTTGTGGCTGTGCATAGGGAATGGCACCAAGCATCAAGCTGTACCTTGAACTTCTGAGCAAACCAATACAAAGTATTTCGCTGCGGTTACTGGACAGGGAACACCATGGAGGTGTTGTTAATGCCAGGGAATCCATATCACAGAATCACAGAATCACAGAATGGGTTGGGTTGGAAGGGGCCCTAAAGATTTGTTTGAACCCCCCTGCATGGGAAGGGACACCTTCCATTAAACCAGGTTGCTTAAAGCCCCATCCAAACTGCCAGTCTCCTCATCACATTCTCCCCAGCAAGCTCAGACTCTTGCCCTTAGGACAGAGTTGTCAAGGAATGGATTTGCCTCTTCCTTTTATTCTTCTCCATGGAAGGAGAGAGTAACATCATTTGTCTTCTGTACACTGGCAAATACTGCTAAAGCATAGAGTGAGTCTGTTTGTGAGCTCCCTAATCTGGCTGCTGAGGTGAAGGAGCAGAATTTCTGCTCTGGTTGCCAATTAGGCAGGTAACATATCCCTGAGAAGAATGGTTTGGGTTGGAAGGGGCCCTAAAGATTTGTTTGAACCCCCCTGCATGGGAAGGGACACCTTCCATTAAACCAGGTTGCTTAAAGCCCCATCCAAACTGCCAGTCTCCTCATCACATTCTCCCCAGCAAGCTCAGACTCTTGCCCTTAGGACAGAGTTGTCAAGGAATGGATTTGCCTCTTCCTTTTATTCTTCTCCATGGAAGGAGAGAGTAACATCATTTGTCTTCTGTACACTGGCAAATACTGCTAAAGCATAGAGTGAGTCTGTTTGTGAGCTCCCTAATCTGGCTGCTGAGGTGAAGGAGCAGAATTTCTGCTCTGGTTGCCAATTAGGCAGGTAACATATCCCTGAGAAAGACAATGTGTAAGAGCTAAGTATTTGTGAATGCTGTTCTCTGAATAACTTGAGTCTGCCAAGTGCCAAATACCTCTGGAAATCTCCCAGTTCTGTGGGAACTGAAAGATTCAGCTTGCTTTTGATTCTTTTATGGACTCAGACCCTAGAAAATGGCAAATTTTTGGAACAAAAGCTCCTCATCTGCTGGGGCAGGGCAGGGGGAAAGTGAACCATACCCATGAGAAACATGAAGTAGAAAAAAAGACTCCAAATTTTTAATGACCACTGATTCTGTAAGAGCATGATGCATGCTACCCTGAAAGCCTGTCCCAGAGGTCAATCAATGCCACCGTACCTTGCACCATTTCCTTACACTGCTGTTTGTCTGCTTTCCTGTATGAGTCACTTGGGCTGTGAACCCTGGTTTACATGCTGCTAAAATCTTGTGCAGTGTTGTTGTGGCTGTCATGCAGCTGGTATAAGCTTTATGTGTTAATTGCATGAGGTTTACATGACATAAAATATCTGTATTTTGAAGAAATAAATTACTTAAATGGCAGGATAACTGGTCTAACATGCTAAGCTTGTAGAAGGTGGTGGCATGGGGAAAGGTAGGTAGAACTCTGGCTTTGACACAATAGCCAGCCACTCATTAATTTGTAATTGTTTGGTTTTTTTCCACTTCATTCTCTTAGTTGTCTACCTGTGAACGATAAAGAAAGAGACAACACTGTCATTGTACACATGAACTGATGTGGTTTTACTGCATTTGGCCACACACTTAAAAGAAATATGTTGGTACAGACAGCCACAGGTCTCATCTCTGCTGCCACTCCTCTCACAAAATTACAATCTTTACATCAGCAGTTTTCCATTCTCGGCTCGATGAGGTTGCAGTCCTACCTTTTGCTCTTGGTCTGAATGCAGAGATTAAAAACACTCAGTTGATGCAAACAGTGGCTGATACAACACACGGAATGGGGTGTAGATGTGCTTCACACAACAGAGAGCAGAACTGAAGGGGAAAATGTTGCTTGGAGGCAAGACGCCTCTTTAATTGATTATGGCAAGGAAAATCAAATACCATATCTGCTTTTTTTCCTGAAGTATATCGAGACTGATCATAAATAACATCTGTTCAAGTTAATACTTCTCATGATTTAAACTTCTGTTTGCATACAACTCTGAGTAGTGCATCTTTAAGTCATACATATTCATATAGAATGAAGAATGCATAATGTCTGCATAAAAAGGTAAGCTGTATGACTATATATGAAGACAACAACTACAGTTCTCACAGCACTGTCATTGGTTAATTTTAAAATATTCAAGCATTATTTAAAAATCAGTAAGCTGAACTTAAAACTACACTACGAAAAAATTGTGTAACTGAACCAATGCCAACTTGTTTTCCCCAATATTAATAAATTTTAAAGTTTCTCTTATTTTCTTCCTAACACTGTTTATTAATTAGTTGTTATTTTAACCTCCAGTAACATGATCAGACTTCTTCTGCCTCTGGGCCATTGGGTCATGCTCTGATCTTGGGTTCTAAGGGAAATGGTCAATTTTATTTTTTTCTGCAGTTGACTAAACAGTACCATGTATACTATCTCTTGTGTTAGAATAGTGTTGTCTTCACATAAGACTCAAATAATGGTATTAGTCATTCATTTCCTTGTACACATACACCCTATTGCGTGTTGACAGGTTTATAAGGATGCAGTGGCAGCCGTGGGTGCTGGGAAGCTCCTAGACGACAGCCTTTGAATCCTTGCAGTCCTGAGCAATGGTGCCTGAGTTAGTCTGTTTATTGTCTGCTTTCTCTCCCAGATGCTTGACTTGTCTGAAAGATTAATACATTAACAAGAGTGGTAAGGTCCAGGGTTGCACATCTTTAAGACATGTTTATTAGCAGATGGCACATGAGTTTCAAAGGTCACTGTGGAAGGTAACATTTTAAAGTGAAACAACAATATTTATGTTCAAATACTATGGTGATGAGATCATACGGAAAAATGTTTCTGATTGAATTACTTTATAAATAGCCACAATATATCTATTAAAAATTCCAAATGCCACTTTTAGTCTTCTTTCTTTTATTCTGTTACTTCCTAATTTATTTAGTAACTCAAAACTATCTTCTTACATAAACAGACCAGCAGCTGGAGAAAAAAATCTAGACTGGTCAGACAATCCTACTTTCTTAAATTGAAAATCCAGTGTGAAACCTGGTTCCTTTGTCTATTTTTTAAAGCCAGTATTCCATGTAAGAGTTTTTTAAGACCTGAAAAAAAAATTAACTTACTTTTAAATTCTCTAGGGTAAATTTCATCTTGTGGACACAAGGACTTGTTGGCAGATAACTACCCTTATTTACATGTGCTACAATGCATTTGACAAAAATCATGTTATGCTGCTTACACGGAATCCATACAATGAAAGCAAATCCTTTTCTTTGGGATTTCCATAGGACAGCTATCTGTCTCATAGTTCATTAGTAAATATTATCAGCAATGCTAAACCTGAAATCCTGTTTATCCTCTCAAATTGTCAAGAACTGTATCCAAATTCCAAAGAAAATATTTTTGCACAGGTTTAAAAGGGTAACTAAGCTCTTAATTAACATTTCTTATCTACCACACCACACAGGCATTAAAATGCAGGATTTAAATGGTACTTACTTTTCATGTGATCCATTTTCGACTTTCATAGCCCCTTCCACTGGATCCAGTCCTTGTTCTGAAAACTGTTTCAAGGCACTTAATGCTGCCTAAAGAAAAAAATGAGTTGTCAAAAAATCCATTGACACAATTGTATTAACACCAAATGAAGGAAGGTGTGTATTTTCGTATTCTGGGTTTAAATAGTTTCCTGTATATTGAAGCCATTTAGGCTACACAGCTAACAGAGAGGGAACATTAACAGCTCCATGCTTTTGTGCATGGGTTTGAGGGTATATGAGTGACTTCCATTTGTGCTACTGCAAAGCTTCATCACCTGCGGGAAGAACATGATATACTTTTAGGACTCTTGTGTCTCTGGCTCATAAAGTCTCCCCAGCATCCCTGTGTGCTTGCCTAGAGCTCCTGTGGACTAACTTTTGTAGATTACTGCAGAAGGTGTAAGCAATGGGAAGAGGGTCAGCAGGACACTACTGACGGACACTATGGACACTCCAAGGCTAAATCTCAAATAAGGCAGCAGACTGATGTCTCATACAGAGGTCAGAGAAGTGTGCTACACAGGGTCAGCCAATATGGGATGATCATGAAGCATCAGTAAGGCAAGAATGATCAATTTTCAGCTGACATTTTTCTATGCAAGTGCATTCTTTATTGATCAGCTTCTCTCTCATCTTCCTGAGTCCTGCTTTAGGACTCAGAATTGCTTTTCTCTCCCCCACTAACTGTTTTGGTAAAAGACAAATGATTTCTTGTAATTAATTTAGCAAAGGCTGACTATGAACCTCCCAGACACCATGTGGCTGACTTTGAAAAGATAGTCAGCACAATAAAGCAGTTGAGGACAGTTATGATTTGAAGGTGAAATGCAAAGCAGAACTGGAAAATGGATTCTTCTTTTTAATTACTCCCACTTACAAGGCATCCAGCACTGATCACAAACAAAATCACAAAAAAAGGTAACTTTTCACAGACACTGTCACCTAAGGTAACATCTCAAGCACTGGAACTGACTGCAGGCCCTAAGGCACCTCTCTTGACAGAGAGGCAACAACTGCTGTTAGAAAATTGGAAGCTGCTCTCTTCCTAATTGTTGGGCAGAATGAATCTATGTCTCTATCTTCATTTCCCACTCCTCTCACAGAAAAGGGACTCTGTCCAGAACAAAAGCTACCATTGTAATTAAGTACTAGACTTGCTTTCATACCAGTTCTTTGCCTGGATTGTCTCCACAGTGCCTTCCCTTAAAAGGTATGTTTATACAATGTGTGTTTTGTTGCGATGAATAACAGCACAAAAATTGCCAGGTTGCCATAAAGTAAAAGACCATGTATCCCAGATTTGTCTATAGTAATGACTAGCTGCTAAAGCTTCAGAAGGCTGTAGAAGGTACTCCCACCCTTAATGCATGAAGGTGGAATCTTTCTAGTCTGTGATGTTTTATGGGTTTTTTCCCAGCAAACAAATAAAAAGCCAATAATTTCTTAAAGTGTCTTGGTAAACCTCAGATTATGACTGCAACCACTCTACCATGTGTTCTGAGCCTCTGGCATCTCACAGCTAATCTCTCTACTTGCTCCTTCTTCCCATCTATTTGCATAGTTCCCCCCCTTCATCTTCAAATCTCTGCTGCCCACATCTTTCTTTTGATCCTTTTTCAATGCTAAGGCTAAGGGCTGAGCCTCAGTTTCACTTCAGTAACAACTTCTGCCATTACAGAATCTTTCACCCATTGTGTTTCCCAGTGAACAAATGCTGCCTTTCCTCATTTATTCCTGTTTTCTTGACATTTTGATATATTTGCTTTTTTTTATAAGACAGCTTTTCCTCTACCACCTCATAGTGTCCCTTGTAGTTTTAGATGTGCATTCTCCACTCTTACAAGCTCTTATCACCACCTGCTTTTCTATCCTGGATCTTGACTACACAGCAAAATCACTGTTTGTTCAACCCAAATAATTTCTTCCACTGGCAATAAGGGTTTTCAACTACTCTCCTCTCAATTTCTCTGTTCCAGTAGCCTGACACCTTTCTTCATTCCAATTTCTCTCTTCTCCTCCTCTCCCTAGGGTCCTTTTCATCACACTACAAGTACCACTCACCATGTGAGGGAAAGGAGTGATTTGGGCTCCCGTGCCTCCTTGCACAGGACTGCTTCTGTATTGTACTTTAGTTGGTCATAGCAACTATGAGAACTAAACAACTCAATAGGTAGGGACTGGCACACAAGATTTTCCTGTCTTCTCATATTCATTTTTCCTAATGCACATTAGCAAAACAATCAGGATCTCCTTCCTCATTATGGTAGTCCAAAAACCATTACCAGGTGGGACTGCAAGGAGAGAAGGAAACAGAGACTTCTGTTTCTCCTACACAGTTTTACTGCTACCTCATCTGTTTTTGAACCCGCCTTGTTTACTTTTTTTTTATATCCATTCTTAGCTTCCTGGTCTGATGTGTGAATTGTAAACTTGTTGTGGAAGAACTGTTTGTTCAGGTTATTTGTTTGTACAGTGAGTGGCTTGGATGAAAAAGCCCTGATCATAGCTGGTAAGAAGTAGAGCCAAGGAATGTCTCATTCAAGATTAGATCACAGGTGGATAAGGTATGCAGAACAGTCTGATCTTGATCAGTGGTCACTGAAATCCCCAAATCATCAAGAGACTAATTAGACCAACCCAAACTTCCTAATTCCTTTCTAGAATTGCTTTGAGTATGAGTACATCTGTTACTACTGTTTTACCCACGGAACTGACTGTTGCAAGGCATACCACATAAATTACAGAGCAGCTTTCAGGGTTGCTTTCCAGAAAAAATGCTTTGGAACTTCCTGGAGGAATATTAGCATCTATCTTAATAAAAACAGATCATGAGGGCATCTCTTCTCTTCTAATAGCTAGAGGACACCAAGTACTCCAATATAAAATTATGAACTCTCTGCCTGTAAGCATGGATCATTACCAAATTGGTGTTGAGGAAGTAAATAGGGAACAATTAGAAGAGACATATAAAATTAAGGTGTTTAACGATAAGCATCTCTAATACCAACACACCATCCAAACCCTAATGCTTGTAATGTGGTGCAGTCCCATTTCTCCATCACCCTTCTTCAAGCCATGCCCTTCCCAAAGTGAAATATAATATAAAAGATAAGATCTCAGATCTATTGTATTTCTGAAACCAAATATCAGAGCAGTGAAGCAGAAGGAAAGCTGTTCTGTACCTGCATCCTTGATCTTATAAGTAGAGGTGTCAGGGTATTTGTGTGAGTGCTGTTGAAGAGCCAGCCCTTTATACCATACCTTATTGCTGGGCTTCTCACCTTCACTCCTCTGGAAGCCAATGATCTCTTCAAAAGCTCATGCTTCTCACTACTGAGTCCCCACATCTTCTGTCTCAGTCCCACATCTTCCCCAATCCACTCCAGAGCTCCTGGTCTTCCTCTCCTTACTACCCACCCCAGAGATCTGACTTCATTTATAGCACAGGCAATCACCTCCACCTCTCCACAAATCTCCCTTTTCCCAGGCCCCTACTTTTTCCAGCTCCTAAATGCTCTCCCACCCAGGACCTCCACTGCTCCCAGCTTCCAGAGCTAAACTTTCACTCCCAAAGTTCTCCCAAGCTCCTCCACCTCACAGTCCCTCTTTAACTTCCAGTTTCCTAACATGTTCCAGGTTTATATAAGACCTGATTTCTTTTTTGTGGAACCAGGTCTCTCTCTCTGTAAGATACCTATGGGGGAAGCCTAACTACTTATATCTGGATTTCTGCAACAACATTTGAATTTTGGGAAAGTTTTTTCCCTGTTTAAAATGTCCACTCATGGGATGTGACTGAAAGGGAAGTAAATGAATGGTAGAGGGAGCTTTGCAGCAGTCTTTAAAACTCCCCCTTTTCTTTCTCCCACTAGCCTGATTACATTTGGAAGGATCAGCAAAGCTGAGAGAAGTTGGTAAGTAAACAATACTTTGGACCTTAATAGGTGTCCTTAATGTTTCTCCTCTCCCCATCATACCCCTAAACAGACATGAAGATGCCGGATTCAGGAAGGAAGCTGGTAGCTGAGAGGCTGTGACCTGAATAGTCAGCAGAGTGACACAGAGCCCAAGTAATCTGCAGTGAAGAGTTACAAGCAGACACCAGGCTAATTTAATCCATGATTCCATTCTATTAGTCCCAACAGATTTACACCACTTGGCTTAAATATAACTTGTGACTGGCAGATAACTTAGGTTAAATGAAAAGGAAAGAAAGTAATGGAACATTTGATAGTGAATCTGGTGAACAATTTCCTCTTTTAAAGGCTCAACACTTCCTTCCATTGATATTTTTCTTACAATAGAGCATCTGCACAGATATAGAGAAATTTTTCTCTCCCCCAGTAGATTTTACAACTGTTCTGTGAGTGAAGCCCCATAGGTTACAGAACAGATGTCCTTACACATTTCTTGTATCACTTGGTTTCTGTGTAGCTACAACAGTGCCAAAAATACGATGCCAACAGGATGCGTCGCACTGCTAGCTGTTTGTCTTGGCTGCCATTTCCATTATTAGTATGTGTGTGTATCAGGATGGGGATGGATGTTTCCAGTCATTTTTTAGCTTTCCTCAGGTCAATTGGCAATTAGTAAATAGCATTGAAACTTGTGAATATTCTTCCTGTTTCTCACTCTGGGGATTAAGCGTCTTATAATGACAATCTAGTAGCATTAGATCATTCTTTTAGCAAGAACAGCAGACAGGCACTACACTAGCCCCTGTGCATTTAAGAATCACATCCTCACGATAAACTTTTCACATGTTTGTTTTAGCACAGTATGTAGTTTGTGTCTTTCCTCTTAAATCTACATTGCCTTTCAGATTATTCCACACAACTGAAAAGTGAAAACGTTTGTTTTTCTCTGTGGCCCTTCCAGTTCACTTTACCAAGGAGGTCTGAGACAAGCCTAATAAACACACTGATACTGTTACTTTACTGGTGATATGTTTCCTATATGGTTCCTAACATCAGTGTTCTAAGCATATTATAAAGCATACTCAGCTTGGCCTTAATGTTTCCTGAAGACATAAAATTATGGGTAAAAAC